TGAGCAGCCAAGAAACACTTCTGTCCAACAAAAAGGACTAGGTTTTCTCAGTTAGAGAGTAAGGTGAGCGCGTGTCCTGGAGAGGAGGAACGGAAATTAGAACCAGGTCTTAAATCCAACCCCCAGCAATCCGGATACGAATCTTGTGGACCCTAGGGGGTGTTTGGCCCGCCATTTATGATTTCAAATTGCGATTTGAGATCAGGTCTTGGCAGGTTTAACTTAGATTATTAGTTCTACTAATCTTGCACCTAGTTCAATAATATGGAAATAATAATCTAGGTTAAAGTTGTTAAGACATGATCTCAAATCATGATTTGAAATCATATGTGGCATGCCAAACCCCCCTAACTTGGTTGGCACCTCCTCAATAGCCCGCGATCCTGTTGAATATTATCAAAGCCCCATGCTTAAGTCTTTTAATATCATAAGCCATCCTCTTATCTCAACAACATGTACACCGGTGGCCAAAGAGACCATTACCCGAATCAAATTTCATACCGCGAGATACATTTTTCCGTTATCGTAAACCACAACCGTAAAATACTGTATGGCATCAATTATTTACTATATAGCAACATACTACATTGTCCAAATGCTATTATTTTAGAAAATGGCAAGAGTTTCCCCGCCCAGCTGATGGGATTATATAGGATCGTTACGCACAAACAGAGCATCCTACAGAATGCGCTGAAGAGTGAAAGATGAAAAAAAAAAACAGTGGGTATGACAGGAGGTTAAGGAAGATGGGATTCGATATGGAGCAGGCCTTTGAATGCCGTTTGACCACTCTTTGCCAAATTTGGGAAGAACACCACACCGCATAAAATCGGGTGATTCACTATGTGCCTATGCATACGGATAGGGGTATGGGGTATCAGGGCCACTCACTAGCGGCAAAAATAGAGAGATTGTAACAACAGTTGTCGAGACTGGTTCGGAGAAGAAACCTTTGCAACCCATTTGGGAGACCAAGCGGGGTACGGGCGGATTGGTGGCAATACACTGCTCACATTATACGCTGAGTCCCGATCTCCAAAAGCGTCGGCTTTGCAAAATGTCTGCATCTAAGTAAATTGATTCATGGGGGGGTTTGAATAAAGTTTTTGTGGTTTTTGTCGTGCTGGAACTTGTGGAATGGGAGTGGTTTCATGCTTGAGAGACACCTAGCGGTATCGTATCGTATCGCATAGCATAGTGCGTTACGGAAACCTGTTGTACCACTTGCAGTCAATCATGTTGTAATTCTTGTTTGAAGTTGTACTTCTTGCTTAATTGATGCTCTACTGGGGGGCCATAGGGCCCTATTTATGCTACAGGAGAGCGCGCTACAATCACCCATGATATGCGCTTCGCGCAAGAGAAAAGAAAAAATAAACGACAACGACACTACATAATGTAGTAGTAAGGAGAAAGGAAACGCGAGCGAGGAAACTAAACTAGTACCACGATAGAGTTGCCGAGTAATCTCAGCTCTAGTCAACCGCGTAATGAGCTCAATCGCTTAATGAACCCATATCAAAATATCCGGAATCATTGCATCCGTCAAGGCCACCTATCGAAGACACTATGCTCAATTTGTAGTTGAGCAATGTAACTCTGTTGGACAACCACCAGAAAAACTGGATATATTACAGGCAATATATCTCATAGCAGATTCCTGGAATTCAGTTACTAGGAAAACGATTATTCACTGCTGGAAAAGGGCTGGAATTACTGGTCAAAATGAAACAGCTACTAGAGAGGAAGCTGGTACTGAAGTAGCACCTGGTTTGGAAGTTCTGGGTAGATCTAATTGCAATACTCTATTACCGGTTGAGGAATTTATTAGCTAAGAGTAATGGGAATGCCGCCAAGAACTGGCACTAGGATCTCAACGGGACAATGGTTTAGAGGACTATCAGGATTTTGAGGACTTCTTTGACACCTACTTTGCCGATTTAACTGATGAGGAAGAAGACCGATTGGGGTTCTCATCTGGAAAGATTTTTCGGAATGCTCTTACTCTTCTTCAGGAAGGTGTTGCAGCTCGAGCTTTATCACGGCCAAGACATGATTTGGCGAATAGCGAGTCTGAAAGTGCTGCTGGTATGGACGACTCGGATCTTGCAGCACCTCCCTTAATCAGTGTTGAAACCGCAGCCCATTATGCCTCTAAGCTTGGGCGCTATCTACACGCCCTTCCAATTACCCACCTCCCACTTCCGGGCAGCAACAGCCTGTCCATAGAGGATTTGATATTCTCTACCTGTAAACTTCATTCCGGGCTTCTCCAGTACAGTCTTCTTCTTCTATCTTTTATTCTTTTACACATTCTAAACTAATAACATATAGCTATGGCTTTACTCGACAAGTCCACCAGACAAGTATCTGAGAGTTTTTTAAACCCAAGGTTCCAGCCTCTGCACTTTCTGGACTCAGAGCTCCAGCATTAATGCATCTTGGTTCAGGAGAGGATGTGGAGGAATTACAGGAGGGTAGGCAAGCCGGAGAGCATGGCTCAAGTGGGAGGAAATTGAGACAAAGTTAGAAAAAGGGGTTGGAGAAGGGAAAGGAAACTGAAAAGCAGAGTGACCACTTCAGGCTGGCTTGGGATGTTGAGGCAGAGTGCATTGGAGGAAGCAGTAGCGAAGAGGAGGATGAAGAGCATACTACATCTGTGTCTACGAAATGGAAAACTGGCGGAGTCAATACTGCCTATGAATCTTTGTTGAGATAAAGCTTGTCAAGAGAAGTAAAATAAGAGCTCTCCATTTTGTTTCTTCAAATAATTCCCTCCAAGTCATATGGTTGTTCGCGATACCCATTGTTCCGGATACCCTGTTGTCCCTGATGAGATCCACGAAATTTTGCCATCCGGGATAGCGGGGTGCGACTGTAGCTCCGGATTCGGTAGCAGGGTATTATTGTGAGATTTGTGTGAGTGTGTGCGCTTTGCGGTGTTGAATCCCGTTCAGACCTTTCTAATTTAAATAGGAAGGCCAGGAGTGGAGTCCGGGGAATTGGGGAAGAGGAGCTGGGGAAGCTTTGATTTGTTCATGAGGCTTCATGTATGGTATGAGTACTGGGATTGCATTTTCTGTTACGGATGGGGGAAATGCAAGCAGGGCAATGTCAGCACAAATTTGGAGGAAATTGATTGGGTGGCTTTGGGGTATCCACAGGTTCCAGAAAAGCCTGCTTTTCTCCAGTTCTCAGCGGTTCCATCAACAGACAGAAGGCCAATCACCTATCCTCTATTGCACCAGTTTCCAAAAATCAAAGATGTCTCTATACTGCTCAAATAATACCAACTACCATAATGCCAACCATCAGATTACTTTTGCAGCCGGACGACCAAACACCCTAGCCTGGCTCTCCCCTCTAGATCCCAGGTTAGGGTACGATTACCCCAGGTTATGGGACGAAGACATCCAAGAGCGTCGAGTAGAATATGTAGGCAAGGTATATATTAGGTAATAAGGACGAAAAAGGGACGGCGGAAAAGAGCGAGGGCTGACGAACTGCGATGTTAGGTCATTGGTGATAGACAGGTTGTGTAATCAGGCCAGAGGACAAAATTCTACCGTTGCCTACTTCTACTTCGACTTCGCGACCCAAAAGGAACAGTCGCCGTCTTAAGTCTCTAAACCAAAAGTCACCCGGAACTCGAATATTCGTAAGGGGAAGGCCTCACATCCGATCCGAAATCGAGAAGCATCTTGCTGGGGGAGGGATGATATTATCAAATATATTCTTGCCAGGCTAAGCGAGGACGCAAACCTGGATACCATAGACAGTGGTCTAAAGGTGGACATCATAAAGAAAACCCCGCAAGATGTTTCTGAAATGTACCTGTATATACAAGAAAGGACACCAGGAAGTTATCTCAAGTTATCCACAAAAAGCTACATATCTAGATTCGTGCTAGTCTTGCTGAATATTGACACGGTACTGCAAGAAACCACAATCCTTCGCAGGCGACAAAAACTCAACACAATGACCGATGGGTTGAGATTGGGGGACACTTGTGGCGCAACGATCAGTCGGATGCCAGCGCAGGATGGGGAGAAAGCGAGGCTTGGTATGGCCGCTTTGATGTGGATCTCTCACGCGGAGCGTTCTTTGAAAGCCAGCGAATTGTGTGACACCCTAGCAGTGTAAATCGGGTGGCTGAATCTCAATACCGAGAATGTTCCTTCAATACAAATAATAGTAACCTATTGTCAAGGACTTGTTGTCGTGGATAAGGAGGCTTCCGCTGTCCGGTTAATTCATTTCACCCTTCGGGGGATACCTCGGGGTTCATCCCGATCTTTTTGATACTGCTCACTCGGCAACGGCAGAAACCTGCTAAAGTTATCCGAATTCACTGCAGGTCAAGGCTCCTCCGACTACGATAGTCTCTCTCCTAATCTTCCGGGCACACCATTTCTCGAATATTCCTGTGTATTTTAAGGCATCCACGCAAATAGGTAGCTTTCAGATTTGGCGAAATCGCTTGCGCTGAAATTATTTGGTGACCACAATAACTACATATCCAGTAAAAATCCTCTTGGAAGCTCAGAAACCGTTATTATTTTTACTCTATTTATCTCAATAAACCCTCCCGGTCCTGCGGTCTACACCGCGCATCCGTCTCCGGGATCGATGGGATTGTAGCTGATCTGGCAGAGATGGAAAGTTGTGATATCAACCAAAAGGACCGTGTGGATAACACCTCTTGTATGGGCTGTCGAGCGTGGGCATGAGGGAGTGGTGAAAGCCTTTGCCCAGGGCTCAAGCGAAACAGTGACATATCATACAAGAATTCCCGAGACCGGGTAACCAGGACCAGCCCTATCCGAGAACAGCACTAGCCACATTTCAGCCTTGCTCCGGCATCCACTAACCCTTTAGGTTCTTAGCACTGCCTTTAAGGGTTTCAGTCCGGTGCAAGGATTATACGTCACTCCCCTCGGAGCCTCAAGAAGATTCCATAAAAATCTACATTCTTTCCTGCTTCCCTCCTAACCACGAATAAGATCTCACATCACTCTGCAACAACACTAACGTGCCCAAAAATGCTCTCAAGATCAATAGCAATTACTCGGGCATTCCGGCCCGCAGCCAATACCGCAAACCTGCGAATACGTTCGGTCAATCGAATAAATTTACCTCCACTAATCGGGTTAAATAGTTTTCTTAGAGGCTCTCCCGTTTCTACAATAAGAGGATATGCTACTGCTAGGGGTGGCGGCGGGCCTCAAGGTCCATTTCCTCCGGGTGGAACACATAGTATGGATCTCGGGGGCAGTGGTAACCAAACCTTGATCTGGGTATTTTTCTTTACGTCTGACTCGTGTCGCAGGGGAAGAGGAATCTGCATTGGGAAAATTTGGCACAGATTTGACCGCCCGTGCTAGAGATGGGAAGCTAGACCCTGTAATTGGTCGTAACGAAGAGATCCGCAGGACCATCCAGGTATTGTCAAGGCGGACGAAAAACAACCCCGTCCTCATTGGCTCGGCAGGAACTGGAAAGACAGCAATTCTAGAAGGTCTTGCACAGCGGATTGTCAGTGGCGAAGTGCCAGAAAGTATGAAGGATAAGAGAGTTGTAAGCTTAGATTTGGGACAGCTGATTGCAGGGGCTAAGTACAGAGGTGATTTCGAAGAAAGATTTAAGGTTCGTTCTTTTATTTCCAATAGACACCACCAAAATAACCAAGTCATCGGATTATTGTAGGGCGTCTTGAAAGAAGTTTCTGGAGCTCAAGGGAAGGTTATCCTTTTCATTGACGAACTTCACACACTACTTGGCCTGGGAAAGACGGAGGGTTCGGTCGATGCATCCAACCTTCTCAAGCCTCAGTTGAGCCGTGGAGAGCTTCAGTGTTGTGGAGCTACTACTTTAAATGAATATCGCCAAATCGAGAAGGATGTGGCTTTAGCTCGGAGATTTCAGCCCATCCTGGTTGACGAACCCAGTGTTCAGGATACCATCAGTATACTTCGAGGGTAAGTGATGACTTATTTTCTTTTCGTGATTTCATCACTTACCACCTGCCAATAGGATCAAAGATAGGTATGAAGTACATCACGGTGTCCGGATTACCGATAACGCCCTTGTCTCTGCAGCTATACTGTCGAACCGCTACATTACCGATCGTTTCCTACCTGACAAAGCCATCGATCTAGTCGATGAGGCTGCTTCGGCATTAAGGCTTCAGCAGGAGTCACGTCCTGACGAAATTCAGGAACTGGATCGTGCAATTTTGACGCTGAGAATTGAGCTCGAGTCGCTTCGCAAGGAGGATGATGTGGTCTCAAAGGAACGAAAGGAGAGGCTCGAAGCCGTTTTAAAAGAAAAACAAGCAAAGGTCGAGGAGCTCACGAGCGTTTGGGAGGAAGAGAAGGCCAACCTCCAGAAGATCAAAACTACGAAGGAGGAGTTAGAGCAAGCGAGGGTTGAGCTTGAGATTTGTCGAAGAGAAGGTAATTTCGAGAAAGCATCTATGTTGCAATACGCGAAGATTCCCGAACTGGAGGCCAAACTCCCCAAGGATGGGGAAGTGAGTAAAGGTGCACTTCTCCATGATTCGGTGGGCCCAGACGATATTGCTCAGGTTGTTTCTAAAGCCACGGGCATTCCCACCACTAAACTTATGTCTGGGGAAGTTGAGAAACTGGTTCATCTTGAGGATACTCTTCGGCAGTCAGTTCGTGGGCAAGACGATGCTCTCAAGTCAGTTGCTGATGCCGTCAGGCTCCAGCGTGCCGGATTAGCCAACGATCACCGCCCCACTGCCAGTTTCATGTTTCTAGGACCCACGGGTGTTGGAAAGACAGAATTATGCAAAGCATTGGCTACGACCTTATTCGCAAGCGAGAATGCAGTTATTCGATTCGATATGAGCGAGTTTCAGGAAAAACACACTATCAGTCGGCTGATTGGAAGCCCAGCTGGCTATGTCGGTTACGAAGATGCGGGACAGTTAACAGAGGCCGTCAGAAGGAAACCGTATGCGGTTCTCTTATTCGATGAATTTGAAAAGGTTTGTTTGATATTACCTAGGAGTGAGACCGAGTATTAACTAGTCTATCAGGCCCATAAAGACCTCTCCTCGTTGCTCCTTCAGGTCCTTGATGAAGGCTTCCTAACAGATGCTCATGGTCGGAAGGTCGATTTCCGTTCCACAATCATAGTTCTCACGTCCAACATCGGTCAAGACATCCTTATCAATGACCCATCCTCAGACGTCGCAATATCGCCAGCTATCAAGCAACAGGTCATAGATATTGTACAGCATTCCTACCCACCAGAATTCCTCAACAGGATCGACGAATTTATAATTTTCCAGAGACTCTCGAAGGATGCTATTCGAGATATTGTTGATATTCGATTGAGGGAATTGCAGGAAAAGCTTGACGATCGTCGGATTAAACTCGACGTAGATGCCAAAGCAAAGGATTGGCTCAGTGAGAAGGGATATGACACTCGATACGGCGCAAGACCATTGAACCGCCTTATTGGCAAGAAATTATTGAATCCATTGGCAGAGAGATTGATTCGTGGAGAAATAAGGAATAGTGAAGTAGCTAGGACTAGGGTCGCACAGGAAGGAACAGAATTGGAAGTTCTCCCAAACCATCAGCCCTCCACTAGCTCCAATCAGAGGTAAACATTGGATCCTTTAGAGGATTAACTTAATGGGCTGTGACCAGCTTGGGTTTTTGGAGAATCTGGTTTGATGCATAATATACGTATGGCGTTTTGTGATCTCCACTCATTTCCCTCGGTTTGGTGTTTCTTGTCTCTTAAATCACGGCCTTGTATGTAGTATGAGGATTTACTTTAATGGATAGGCTCATCATGCCGTGTTTGTGCGATTGCACCACCTGCCATTCCGAAAGACTTCTGCCGAGTGATTCATAATGCGCAGCATCGTGCAGCCCCCTATCGTCGGTGGAAAAGGGATCCGCACCTTTGCCAGTTCTCGATTCTCTTAGGCCCTGTTGGCAACGACCGTTCCGTTTCTCCATACATACAAAGTGACAATTTCAAAACTGAAGGACCACCATTTTTGTGGGAAAAAGTCGCAAAACGGAACGGTCGTCGCCAAACAGGGCCTTAGTGCTTAGTCGACTCTCCCAATTTTACCCAATTCCCTGATAGAACCTGGAAGGGCCATGCCAATCACGTTATCGGCACTGATTAAAACGCACCTCTAGTGAACCACACCCCATACTCATTAACCATCACTCGTTTTCCACAGTATGATACAAGTACTTCAAGTTCCAATTCCCCTAATCCACCAACCCCGTGAATTAGGTCCACAGATTATCGCTTGATCTATTTCGAACCACCACACATGACCTCGCATAAATCCAGTCATCCGTTATGATACCGCTCATTAAGTGCTTTCGCTCCCCCGCTAAAGCCTCCCATCCTCCCCTCCTCAAGTGGCTCCCTAACTGGTATCATAGATAAGATTCAGCACAGGATTTTGCTTTTGATTTTATTGGAACTTCTGGTGTTTGACTGACCCCCAGCTCTATGTCACGAGGTGCCCTGGTGGCACTTTCTAAGTGTGCCGTGTCTGTTAGGCGGCTAGCAGACCGGCTTGCTTTCTTGTAATATCAATCTGGACATATTCCTGTTCAGTGGTTTTCGACGCTGCTCTTGACGAAATTTTATGATCAGTTACCTTGATCGGTAATTGTCTTAAGGCTCCAGTATGCTGAATAACAGACATTTGTTAGGACAAGTCACAAAATAAGAGGGTTGAACGATCAGACCGAGGAAAAATTGCAATTTGCCTAGACAATCTTAGGATACTATGGGCATGCGTATGGAACGATGGCCGATTTCGTGGAGACTCGTGGACACTGCGTGTCGGTAGTCCTGCTAAAGTTTAATTATTTGCGAAGAGGGAAAAGGATATCTTCAAGAGGAAGAAAAATGTCATGAAGGAGGAACACGATAAATCAACGAACATCCTCTTGTCTCTTCACATCCATCTCTTTGCGCAAAATCCAATAGAATCACAATCGTGGACGATTGGATTGTTCACCTCCCCTTCTCCCCCCAAATATCCCCCATCAAGCATTACATTCTCCCAGAAAGAGAAAAAAAGAGGCTCTCGAGATGAAATTGCGGACCTAGCGCTCCGGATTGGCCACAGCACGAAAAGGACAGCCATCCAGATGCCCTCCCACTGTATCCAAAAGGTGAGTACTCGTATCGCTCATTGAGCCCCGCTATCCGTTAACCGACCCCATATGTTAGCGTGAAACCTGACTAAACGTTTGACCAAATAGTGTGTACGTCACCAGATCACCTCACGGTGCTCCTCCCCCCCTTCGTCCTTGTACAAACGAAATCTGATGTTGTGTTTTCAACTCCTCCCCCAGCTCTCCGTTCGATCCTCTCTTTTTATTCTCATATAGCATACTTGCTCAATCCTCACGATCCTCCATGGCACTGGACCAGTGATCCCAAGTGGCCAGTCCGTCCGGTGTCGAGTACGGCCGGACTGTTGGAAAGCGGCTTTTCCAAACCAGAGCCGGGCCGGCCTGGGTCACCTGCAGGCCGATGTTTCAAGAGATCATTTGTTTTTCATTACTAAAAATATTTTATTATTCAACAGGATTAATTTTTCGCAAAGTCACTCGGTTTATACATATTGACCCAAGCTAGTTAGAAAGTTGTGTGAATGGTACGAGTACAGAGTGTTCTGCGGTTGGACAGTACATTTGGGTATCATGGTGATTGATCGATGGATGACATAGATTTGTCTCAAGCGAGATAAAGTGCCGGGGACATGTTGCTACTATTATCCTATTCCGAGTGATTTAAAATAGAAATCCCGCAGGCCGTCAATAGATATCTTCAGATTATGATACCTGGGTACCGGGCGGCTTTACCTGGGCATCTAGCGGCTTCGACCTGTGTTGCGCCAAGACTCGGCCTAGCGGTTTGTCTAGGCGCCGCCGAGCTTTGGCGGCCACTGAGAATTTCGACCGGACTGACCCAAGCGTTTCAAAACCAAGGCCGGACCGACCGGACTGCCGACCCGTGGTCCAGACCACGGTCCGGACTAGCCGCTGGGGATCACTGCACTAGACGAGCTCTCTAAACTACTCTAAGAAGACGAATATCTAGTTTTTAGATATTCATCTTTCCCTAAATTAGAAAAAGCGCATAAGACACTTAGCGTATGTATCCAAAGCCTGAGAATTATCCACAATCTGATATTAACAAACTACTCCTAGATACACCTACCGCCCTAAAATTGAGAAATTAACCATAAAAAAGGTCACACAAATGCATGCAACAGTGTTAAGTTGGGCGATGGAATTGGATTGGTTGGGTGTGTGAAGTGTTTAGGCCAAAGGTCGTGTTACCGGTATATTCACTTCTATTCAGGTGCAACAATGAGACTGACAAAAGAGCGAATAGAGAGAGTCTTAGAGAACAGAGAAACGCATATGAGTATGAGAATAATGAGCGAAAAAGAAAGGCAAAGTGCATGGTCTTTTATAGAGAGTAATTCGGCGAAAACACACATGCCGGTGAAAGAGAAAAATACTCGAAACATCACAAGAGGAAAGAAATCAGCTACACCCCCTAATCATCAAACACTACTAACGTGAATCCAGTGTAGATATCGAGTATCTGCTCCTATATATTTCACCCCTAAACAATCTGTGTCTGTACTACTCAAGGTCAAACCGATACATGTTTCCTAAACACCGAAGGTCGCCGATGAGGTCGCCGAAACACTAGGCCCAGCCATAGTATGTTTCAACAGGGCCAGTATCCCAAACCATCCCAGGCACCGTACAAGGCCTTGGCAGGCTGTAGTCCGGGGAGTCCCGGGCAGTGTGGGCAAGGAAGTCAGGACATTGCGTCCGCCTTTCATAAGATGGCTATTCTATGGGTTAATGCCCGGGCCCTGCAGTCTTAGTTCAAATGCCATCTTCCGGTGGTCATCTGCCGCGCCAGGCCATTACCTATAGGGCCCTGCCGTCACCCACAGGAACCTGGCTCGTCCGGACGCCAAGGTGCCCGTTCCGGGCATCCTCTCGTACATTACGGTCCGTCCTGTCTGCGCCTGAGGACGGACAGACTGGATGCCTGGATTCACTGGATTGGCTCGAGAGCATTTTGGAAAGAAGATCTCGAACCGCTTGCCGGAGGCGAATGAGCGGACTCACTGGTCAATATCAAGACATGTATGTCCTGATCTTTTTTAATGCGATGTTCTGCACAGATGGCTAACACTCCCACGCAGAACTAAAGCTCCTGACATCCATATAGCTCCTAGGGGCAGTTTTCTGCCGACAATCGTGCTTAAGCTTGGCTATGCTAAACCGTATAGGACTTGAAAGCTAATGTAGAACTTCTACTCAAGGGCTCTGAAGGAGCAATTGGTAAGGTGATTGTCATTAAGCACGACCCACTCTATGAGGGCGAGACACAAATCCAGAAGGGTTTTGTTGAGATTCATCACTTTACCGATGGCCAGGCAAAGACGGATTGTGGGAGAAAGGTGACTGTTATGACCCTCCTGAGTAGGCGTTCGTCTCTACTAATACGGTGATGTAGAAACCAATTCCTCCACCAAAGAGCCATCAGATACGGAGACTGGGCTTGATACTGGGAGGTGGGCTCCGCAATGAGTTCAAGAATCTGGTTTGGTAGCAAGAGGATACCCTTGACCTCGAATTAGACCCTCTTCAGAAGTCTATCAACAAGGCAACCAGTCGCCACCTCATCTGTGCAGGTGTTCTCCCAGAGCTCGCTATTTGAGGCTTCACTCATACACCAGGACCAACACTTTTGATACTTAGCTTGATTTCCCGCGTTTCCAGAGCTCTTATAGTATATCTCCCTGCTCTGTGCTGCCAGGTTTCACAGGAGCAATATTCTAAGGGTTCAAAAAATTGTTTTTGTTTTATCCGGTTCTGAGAAATTAATAATTTTACATTATAAAGGAGCTCATTCCGATCCCGAAGTCCATTTTCCTACATGACATCATACTAAATAGGTTAAACCAGCCTAACTTCACCTTTTCTTTTCTTTTTGTCTTCTCCAGTTCTCTTTGCTTCTATTCTCCGTTTGTCCCAATATGTATTTATATGTACTCTCAATCGCGGATCAGTTCCAAAATCTGTCAAGCTTCCAGTTATTTATTCTACAATATCCATATACCCACCCCCGTTCCAATACCCACCCTCATATGCTTGCCTGCGACCCTTGTAAGAGGCGATACCTAATTCAAGTTAACCTATAGTGGATGACAAACTGCCGGGTGAGCATACTCGTATACTCGTACACTAGCGTCTTTGCGTTGGACACATCTAGAGTCTTTTCGGCCACCCTGCTCACACGTCCCAAGCTCTGGAGAAACCGGGCGACAATTCACTCCACCTTTAGAGCATTATTTTGTTACTTTTGACCTCTACACACCACCCACAGGAATATTTATCACCGATTCCTCATGGAAAAGAGGGCTCTATTATTGGAACAATAGAAGCAGGAGCAGGCCTTCCAATGGCTCTGGGCTTCATTGGGCTGGGTAGAGTTCACGGGAGCTTCAACCCAGGTTTCCCAACCAACCCAGCAAAATTTCCTCACTTAATTTTGTACCTTGCCGGGTGTTTTCCGGCAGGAGGCAGGATCATTGCTGCCTCTATTGGGACATGGGCCCGAGCCCAGAAAATCGTGAAGACAACTTTGCGAGCCACAGCACTGTTCTGGAAGGTTTCGGGAGAAACCAAGGAGCTCTTATTGTCACCACCATCCAGAACTATCACTCGTTTCAAATCCTTCCAAAATTCAATATCTAGTAATGGATCCAGCACCAACCTTCTAACGCCCGGCTACTGGAAC